ACGTCTCTCAATATGTCTCGCGATATGTAATTCCTATTCTTGAATGAGAATCACTGTCGGCATCCCGGAGCCAGTGGCGCGAGTAAACCAATAACGCGTCCGCCACGCCGGGTGCCAGATTCAAATCCGGCAGGGACCGAAACGGTATTCCACGACGAAACGGATAGCAGGGGGCTCCGCAGGACATTTCGAATCCGTCTCCGCGTCCTGCGGGCTTTACTGGTTTGTCGAGCCATTGGCTCGATTCGGCAATTCTGCGCGCGTTCGACTTTCTCGCGAAAGAGGACGAATCGGTCGCCTACACAATTTCGCACATGCAAAACTGTTGCTTTCGCGTAATCTATTTAATCTGGCCATTGCAACACTCGCGGCCGGGATGGAAGATGCGAACGACACTTCCTGTGGATTGTTGAAGAGATTTGGGAACGAAAGTATCGTCAAACCAAAATCTAAAAATTTTTCATTGACATTAAATATGGATTTAAATAATAATTAAAAGTAAAACTTCAAATTTCTATAATTATCTTTCTATAATTAATATATTATATTAGATAAAAATTGTAAACATCATGAGCATAGGAAGAGTAATTTATATAACGACACACTTGAGATGTATTACCATAATAAGAAATTTTGATGTTGAATTTTGAGAAATTATGAATGATAGATTAATTGCGACCACGTATCTTCAATAAAAGCAAAGAAATACAATTTTAGGAAAAGTTTTATTAACTTAAATAAATTCATGTAACAAATTTTTTTTCGAACGCAGATCAACTCATGTTTCCATAACGGTGTGTTGTAACGATTAATAGAGAACCGAATAGAAGCAGGAAGTTTGAAATACGTGAAGTGTATGTCTTCCTATTTTAATCCAACTATAGATCGGATAAGATATATATATGTATATACCGAATAAAGTTATTAGGACAAGGTGAAGAAGTCCGCAACAAGACGAGCCTCGTTCAGCGTCTTCGTGAAGGAAGCGGAAGAAGGAAGAGACTCGCGAGAGAAAGGAGACCGAGATATTCGCCCGTTCCACAGAGTGTACGAAGCGTATCCAATTTGATGGCATTACAATAACGGGGGTAATGTCTGAGAATAATGAAATTTCCCCCAATCACCACGGTTCGCCTAGAATACGTTCCTTCGTTCCTGTCTTCTCTCTTTCTCTCTCTCTCTCTCTCTCCTTTTTCCCCTCCCCTCTCCGTCGAACTGAGGTCTTCCATCGTCTACCACACGTACACGAATAGACATGTACAGGCAGACCAGAGAAAATGAGTAGAAACGTTTTCGAATCAATCCCGTTCGCGAGTTATTTCGCTCCCCATCGAAGAAGAGTCGAGGGATCCTCGAGTGCTTCCGTTCAAGAAATGGAGTCTGGTCAAAAGTTATGGAATGCGACGACAGTTGCGAAAATTCTATGAACTCCCGCAATGTTATTACAACATTATGTAACGCGATAAAAATTTAGAACTGTCATGATGATTCATTTCAAAATTCTTCTAATTTCAAAAAATTTCACAAAAACAGTATGTAATTAAGTAGCGTAAGTCGCGTGAAAGTATATTTGTGTTATTACGTATGTCGAATGCTGCAAAGACAAATGTATTAATATACATCTATTTCTCAGAAGATTAAAAAAAAAATAGATTCTATGTACATTCGTGAATGCAAAGAGTTGATTTTTTAAGATTTTGATTTTTGATTTTTCAGATAATACAATTCTTGAATTTTATTCATTCTTACACGTGCTGATTCCATTGCAATAAAATGCATCAACTATAATTCACTTTCAAACGACAAACGATGAAAAACGACGAAATATCGAGAGACTTTGAATTCCAAGACCGGAATTCCTTTTGACTGTTCGTCGTTTCGTTCGTTCGACGCCTCGTACCGCCTTAACGTGAGCGCAATAATTCTCGAGCGAACTGTACGTAATGGAATATTACACGGACCATTAAAGAAACGTTAATCTTGCCCACAACAAGTTCAGAAGCGCTCGCAGGATGCTCAAACGCGGCCGGGATTACGCGCTGGCTTTGATCCTCCAACGCCCCGAAGGCGCGCACCGGAGTCCGCAGCCTCCTGTAATTTGTTAAAACGCGAAATTCTATGACGTCGCTGTTTGTGCTGGCGTCTCGTTACCGCTTAAAAGTCACGCGGCTCCTTTGACGACTTGCTGTAAAACATACTTGTTATTTAATATTAAATTGATCGTTTTTCCTGCCATTTTTCATCCCACTTTCTTTTTACATTAATAGTTGAAAGGACTGCGATTCCGTCAATAGAATTAGAATATTAAATGTTATATTTATAAAAATAATTAATGAATGAAGAAAATGACATAAATCTACGAAATAGAAAGATTTAGAAGAAAATTTTTGTTCTTCAAAAAGTTTTTACAAATAATATATTAATTACATTAATTTCTTATTTCTTCTAATTTTTTTCTTCCGTCTATTAATATCTTCTTTGTTACATCTATTATTTAAAATGATCACAATGTCATCATAATTTATTGATATTCAATAATAGTATTACTCCATGTTAAACATTATGTTATGAAAGACTTGCTTCCATGATGATAAAGCCATGTCACTACTTTCGCGAATTGTTTCACACGAATCGCTTTACTCTATCTTCCTCGACGTGGATACTAAAATTTTTGGGAAGGGGAAGGCGTGCTACACAGAAAAAGCTGCGGATGAACTCTCGACGGCTTTCTTTCACGGGTAAGAGCGAGCCTTTGACATTTTTTTCTCGCGTCGATAAGAATGCTCTCTCGGTTCTACCGTCATCCTTTCTGTCCTCCTTACCCTCCAACCAGAGACTTTCTTTCGTAGTCTTTCTGCGAGGGTGACTCGTGTACACCTCGGCGCAGCTATTACGAAGGCGCGAGGGAGCAAGTCAGCCAGCTTCGGGAAGGGAAGACGAGACGAGAACGAAGGAGACGCCGCGGCAGACGAGGAGAGAGCTGGCGCAGGGTGACGTGGGAGAGAGAGAATTTAGCGACCCTCTTTCGCTTTTTACCCTAAGCGAGTCGAGAGCCCCTTAGCCACCGTTTATTGGACGCATGCAAATATCCATGGCAACGGTGGTACCGTGCCGTATACGGGAATACGGGAAGAACCAACCCCGCCGCGCCACACCGTCGAGAACGCCGAACGTGCGAGGGGTGTATACGAAGATCTTCCAGGTCGAAGGAAGAAAAATAGAAAAAAGAGAGAGAAAGAGATGTCAAAGAATTTCCTTTTGATCCGCGCGTCGCCCATCTTCAAGCAATCTCTTAATTGATTCTGCAGGAATTGGTATTCTTTTCGGTCTCTGATGGATGCTTTTTCAGCTGTTAGCAAACGTGTTTCCGCTAGTCATTATATATGACAATATGATCTAAATCTCTTGAAAGTAGTGGTAATAGAAATCTAAGAAATTCGATTACTTTTAAACTTACTTTCTTAACAAAGATATTCAGTTATAGATAATAAAATTTTGAGCTATAAATGATTAAAAATCAATGAGTTGAAACTTGGAGATGCAATTGGATAAAGAAACTTTATTCTTCATTTAATTTTCCATGAATTTACATCATTTCGTCTGTCTTTATCCTAATTTATTCGCCTAATGAAAATTAACAACTCGAGCGTAACAAAAACAATTTATTTAAACTATTAAGATGTTCTGAAAATTGTCAAAAGAAAAGAATATTATCAATCATCTGCTGTCCATATTATAGTTGATTACAGGCACGATACTTCAAGACTTAGAGACCCTCAGAGTCTAAACACGAATCATAGTTTTGTATATAGGATGATAGTTTTAACAAAAATCTGCGAGAAAGAAGGACATGGATTTCCTATTTGTTTCTCATTCCGTTCTATCTTTTTCTTATCTATTTCTCTCTTTCTTCTTCTCTCTCAAGAATTGTTAAAACATAGCGGATCAAAAGTCACTGTTTCATGTTCAGACTCTTATTAAAGGATCTCTAACTTTAATGATACACGTTCTATCAGGCCACGTGGAGTGCGATCGCGAGACCGGAAGAACGACCCGTGTTGGGGGAGCAGCGGCTCATCGGGGCGGAACCGGTTAACGCCAAATCGTCCGTCATTCGTTTGCGCGATTAACCGCCTCGTGTTAACAACATCGGCCGCGCCGCGACAAGGGGAGGAGTTTGTACGTCGTCCTGGTCGCGCGCGCCCACCCGAGTCCATCGGCTCGCATAAACATCCTCGGTACAACCAGCCGCCACCCCACAGAAAACTGATTTCCATCCCCCCATGCCGCGACTCGCGCTATCTATGTAAATGCGGTCCTGTTTTGTGTGAGTAGACAAAGCCCCCGTTGACAATACGCCTGCGCGTTTACAACCTCCACCCGCCGAGCCGAAAGTCAGGCTCCATTACGGCTGTTTTGCGACGCGCTTTGTATTGTTGTCGCCGCCACCACCGCCGCCACCGTCGCTGCCACGCAACACCGATTCCTCCAAAACTTCTGTCATTTTCGTTAGATCGTAATCGGTTAACATCCGTGAACTTTAACTATGGATTAACCAAGATCTGACGTTTGACGGACCTTCGCTACTTAATCTTCATTCACTCCGTCCGGTATTCGCGGCTGATATAAAAAGTGACGCGCTTTTATTAAATTAAAACACATTTTGCATCAACTTTATTATTCTTTTCACAGATTTAGTAAAAAGAAATTTTGACAGTCAAATAGTTTTAAAGAAAGAAACTAGTTTTTCACTTTTTAATTAAATTTAATTTTCACATGTTGTTCATGAAGAAAAAAATGTACTTTTTTTTTGGTTATTCTCGTGTAATAATTATAAGCCAACTTATGTATTCGGGACCGATGCAGACAAATAGTTTACAGTTATATTATTATAATTCTGTCTATTGGCCACAGTAATAATAGAATGGTCGTCTACTGGCCGCACTATAATTTCTTCGAATAACGGTAAGAGAAATAATTGGATGGCAGATCGTACTTACACTTGGGATGTTGTCGTTCGTGCACACTCCCTCCTGCAACAAGCGATCTCGAATCTCCCACGCGAAGATGGACGGGCACTCACTTTTGTAGAGCGAGATCTTACTGACGACCTCTGCCGTTGCCACGCGCGGTTTGCTGCCGCCTATGGCCCTGGGCCTTATAGATCCGGTCTCATAGTACCTACAACAATAATAATTTGCGGTACAATGCGGTAGGAATACGTGGAAACGCTCAAGTCGCTATTGAAAATGAAACATATTATACGTTTATCTCTTTACGTATGTTATGATAGCCTAAATACACTCGAGGTGATATTGAACAATGTACCTTGATTGCCTCTCATGCAACAGATGTTTAGTCAAATGTGACTAGACTCACTTATACCTTAATTCTTGATTTAGACTCGGTTGTAATTTTATATAATGTTCTTTTAATTGAAATTTATAAAAGCTACATCTACTCGATTTCGAAAATGCAAAACAAACCAACATGCAAGCTCATATTTCATGCAGAACTGCAAGATTTGAAACTAGTTTCTCAATTGACGACATAATTGCTCAATTTACTTAAAGTAATGTCTACAATGAAATTTTAAAGCATAAAATTTAAACTTTAAGTCTTAAAGTAGTAAAAAAATTCATCATAATCAATTATTCTCTTTACATTCAACTGTGATTAGTCAATTTCTTCTAGTTAAACCAACAATGACATTTTGGTTGGGTTTTTTCGTTGATTTAACTAGAATATTTTTCTCAGTGTAAATTTTACGCCTTAAAATCTCATTATGGACGTCGCTTAAGATATACAATAATTTAATCGAATTTAAAAACGCAGCATCAAACGGAGCAAGCAATATTGCAACCAACCTGCCGAGGATCTTGGAGACACAGCCGTTGCTGACCTGTAGTATCCTGGAGATATCACATGGCCGTGCGCCCGAATGTGCAAGCTCGACGATCTTTTGCCGTGTTGAGTCCGGAAGTGGCCGACCGCCGACGAAGACACCCCCCAGCTGGTTTACCCCGCTGTGTCCTGCAAACGACAAAAGTTGTTCGGTTATTCTTTGCTTAACAGTTTCGAGAACTGGGTAACAACAAATTACGATGCAACAGATTGCAGCTAGCAACAAGTTACGATAACAACAAATTGTCTTTCTTCTGAATTATTATTTCTTTCTTTTTGTTCTCTTCTTTTTCCCTGATTCTTCCTCTTTCCACGAGCACGACGTTTGCGTAAGGGGTGTGGAAAATTCAAACGCTTCACCGCCTCCGGAGACTTTTTCGCATTTCGGCGAACAATACCGTTGTCACCATAGATCATGTATTTTCCCTCCTCTCGTCCGCGGAGACTTACCCCGGAAACCCAAGAGGAGAGGAGAAGACCGCGGGTGAGCTCTTTCTTTCTTTCTTTCTTTCTTTCTTTCCAGACTCGGCGAAGGGAGAGCAATGGGGAGGCGGAGGACGAGTACAGGGGGTTGGCCACGAGCATCGTAACGTCAGCGAATCCCATCGTAGATAATCTTCGACTCATTGTGTCAGTGACAAGGCAGTCACACACGTCGGTGCGGGATACTCGAGAGGAACGCCAGGATAGTGTGTTCTCTTGCGCAGATATTTTATATTCCCGCGACCGCCGCGCGCGAATGCCGTATCCGAAGGTGACATTTAGAGTGGGGCGCCACGCCTTAATTTTTCTTGGATAGAAACTCTGTCGTCTTCAAGGAAAAGGTAGAATTTGGAAATAAGACGCAGGAAATAAATACTAATATAAATGAATGATATAATATGTAACATATAATATAACATGTATAATTTATCTAAGAAAATATATTTTTTGAATTTTAATTTAATTTAGTATTTATAATAATTAATGATTTTAAAAGAAAAAAAAAATTTTTTTTAAAGCATTCGACATCTAAAGCTGTAACTTTTTAATTATTACTTAAATCATGTTATATCAAATCTAATTACTAGTAACTATAAAAAGTGTTTTTTTTTTAATCTTACACAAAGGATTATTTTATCTTATATAATGTACAGAACTGTTTTTATATGTAAAACTTTTGTTGAATTTTCTGATAAGTGTGGAACAGGAAAAACCGTTAATTATATATCTGATGAAAAACATTGATAGAGATTATCAAATAGAAGTATATTTCGAGTGTGGATGTAGCTTTCGATCACGAGAAGGTACATACGTTAGGAAAAGCAACGTCGGTTGTCAAAAATTTCTCATCGACGCTAATTCGGCGCGTCGGGCGACACACACCCGGAGGGTTACGAGGGAGATTTACGATCGTGTGCGATCGACGAAAAGGGGCTTACGGTCGATTGACTTTCGAAAATGGGCCTGGCGCGAGAATCGCGAGCCATTTCTCGCGTCTATCTACGCGCGCCCGTCATAAACGGGCCTTTCCTTGTTTGAAAGAGAATCTATTCTCCACACACGTAATATATGTACACACGTAATACACATGCGCGCTCATATTATGTGTGTATTGTACGCATACTATAATAGTAAATTCGGTCACTCGCACTGTAATACACTGGATCAGTGTACATTAAAAGCTGCTTTACATAAAGTATCAAATGCAGTGGCATAATATAATCAATTTTGACACTGGAATAATACATGTATACTCTTCAATAATATGACGATGTCCGTAGGGTATTCAATCGTTTAAAATATTCCCATGCTTTTACATGTAATTTTGTTAATTTTACATATAGCATTTTTATTATCCTAATATAACATAATGGAAGAAATCAAATTTGCTACCTATATAAATCTGTTTTCTATAGCTAAACTAGTATACACTTTTGGAAGTTAAAATGAGATAAATGTTTGACATTTGGCAAAAGTGAGAATTTAATGCAGTTTAGTGCCGGAATAAAAACAAACAATTCAATATAAAGTTTGTCAAAAATACGTCAGATATTATTATATCTATTTCACTTTAAGTTCCAAAAGTGTACACTAGTTCAACCACAGAAAACAAAACCTATTGTTCACGAATTAATGAAGGCTGAGTTTATAAGTAAGTCACCATTTGTTTCGCGTCTCTATTAGATCCGCGTAAAACGGATATAAGGAATGTGGAAACGGTGAAAGCGATGAAATTCTCGCTCGGCTGGGAGGAATCCGCCGATAATACCGCGCAGAGCTCACAAATCGGCGGGTAAAAAGCGGAGCAGTGAATTAAAGAAACAAATGGAGTCTGAAAAGGAGGGCGCGAGCGCCGCGCTGCGCCGGCTAAGGGGGTGGCGAGCAAATTGTTAAACGCGCTTCTCGAATGCCGACTCTTAACGAGCGATAATAACTCGCGCAAATAACTGGCACGTCTTTAGAGGGCTAGTTTCTGCTTTCTCTCCCCTCTTCCTCACCCCCTCCCCCCCCATCTCTTTCGCGTCCACCCGGCCATTGTGCGTACGAGCACGAGAACACCAGGGAATTACAGTTAGCTCCTCGTCGTCTCTCGTCTCTCCGCGGATTCTGAACTGAAGGGATGTGCGTGTGTGCTCGTATTAGAGCCGGTACAACGGCAGGGGGGCGCGATACTTACACCTTTAGGCAGCCTGTATTAACCGCGCGCGCGACCAAGGGGTGCGCTCGAGTGGGCATTCGGAGCCCAGAGGACGTGTTTTGATATTGTAACGTTTGTATTAAATATCAAGTCGGAAGGGTGCCGTGCCTGTCTGAGTTTCGGCGCCGTTTATTAGGACTTCATTAGTCGTCCCTTGATCCCTTCTCGCTTTCTAGCCCCAACACCCTTTTCCGTGATGCATCATCGATCGCGCGTGGAATTTTTCCCGACCGTTTCTATAGATCTCTGAAGGGACGTTGTTATTAGATTGTACACACATCTCTAGTGCTAATTTAAATTACTTAATTTTTTGCTACCGGTGCATAAGTCATAATTTAAAATACCGCAGATGATACTAGGAGAACGGAAAAGTTTGTTTTATAGTAAATGATCTTCAAAATATCAAGTTAGATTTTTACATAAAAAAAAAAATACATTGAAGATTTGCATTACGTTGGTCCTCGCGTATGTCTATAACAATTAGAAGTAGATGGCAATCGCTTTGAAAATGTCTATCCACTACACTATTTCATTATCTAATGTAGATACGGAATCTATGGCGAATAGGTCAAGGACACATTTGTTCTATGCTATCAAACTCAGCGCCAGTAACTCATCGAGACGTACAATACGCAGCTGTTTCTGAAAAGACGTCTCATGCATATTAACGCGTGTAAGTAGTATAATTCTAGTAATGCGTTTTACGATTATACTCTACTTTGTGTATGAAAAAAAGAAATATGTTAGAAAATCTAATCGCGAATGGTCAGTGAATTTTGCTAATCGAGGATCGATGAGCGAAGTGTTTTCAAATGCGCGCAGACAGTTTGATACTTTTGGCAGCGCACGTAGTCGCGAAAAAATGAGGAAGCTCGTTTACAAACGGGCAACAGAGCCTCGCTGACGCGACGGCTCAGACAGCACATTCATCATCCGTCCGACTTCTTCCACCCCGTTCGACTTATATAGTCGGCCTCTCCTTTTCCTTCTTGTTCTCCAGCGGGATGATCCTCCTCTTGGCATCGTGACGTAATCAATTACTGGCTCGCCGGAGGTTGCCGGCTTCTCGCACGCGAGACTTGTTCTGTTCTGATTTCTCATAACAGAATAAAGTATTCACTATTCTATTTTGATTTGATCCTGACTCATTCAAATGGGTCATTGCTTCATCACTTCTTTTCTTTTTGTATCTCGTACCAACGTTATGATAACCTTCATTTTATAATACATTCAAAATAATCTCTGATTTTTTTTATTAAATTCCTAAGGAAATATTTATATAAAATTGTTATATTATAATATAAAATAAATTGTATTTTTTTGTCATGATAAGCATTTCTTGATAAATTTATTATAAGTTATTTAAATTATGTATCATGACATTAATAGACACAAAAGGGGTCACGGAATATCATTTTGTTTTTATTAAAACTCAGTAGATATTTCTGTAACATAATTACTTTTAATTATACATGATCGTTAGTCACAGAGCTTACTAATTATGTACAGACAGTTTTACGATATATGTATAGAACGAACGTAATTTATAAAAAAAACTGAAGAGGTAAAAAAGAGGTTGTGGTTATAGAATAGAGAAAGAAACATTTCGTTATCAAAATTGGCTCAATTATATTATTTGAAAGTCAGCATATTTAAGGCTTTTAAACTAGACTGAAGTTACAAAATCTGTAAAACTTATTTATATCTGCTACCTGCAAAACTTGTAATGAAATTTTTACCATAGGCAGTAAATACTAAAGATCAGTGTTGTAATATTTAATGCGAATCTCACACGATTAATAAAATACTGATCAGTATCATTGAATTATTAACATTGACAGTATGAATCATCAGTATTTTACAACCTTACACAATTACTATTATATTTCAGTTCAGTTTCCTGCAAATTATAAACATTACACAGTCAATAATACTGTCAGTATCAACAAATACTGACAATATTATTGACGATAATCCGAATTTGTTGATTCTCAAGCATGAGTATCGCTGTAGGGGATACTGATGTTCGAAAATAAAGAAATCTAGCTCACTGTCAATATTTTACATCAATCCATCAATATTAATCACATATGATCAATAATATTGTCAGCATTTGTTGATACTGACAGTATTATTGAACGTGTAAAGTCCCTACAAGCAGTCTGTGAGAAGAAACAAAGTTTTGATGGTTGCCCAGAATGCAACGTAAACCATACAAGAAATTGTGATGTATATTCCTCATCCATTCTATAACCGTCCTTTTCTTTGTTATAAAGAAAATATAAAAAACTATATTCTACTTTGATTAAAGTTTCTAATAGTACTAAAAACTTAAGAATCGATCTTTCCATCGCGTATAAATAAAAGTACATAAAGCAAAAAACGTGTTCCATATAAAATTTCTCAATTTAGATCTAACCACGATGGAAGAACCTGATCTAACAAGCTC